ATGCTTTGATGGAAATTTTATACTTTAACCCTTTGCACTCGACTAGCTAGCTTTTCTTTTTTTCGTATGATGCGATTGTGTAATAGCAAAATATCTGAACAGATGTGTAGAGTGAAAGTTACATTATAACAACGACGTAAGAAGAACAAGAAAATTTCAGAAGGCAGTATTGAATTAATTGAGGCTCAATAATTCACACGAACTGGACCTTTGCTTACGAAAGCAAATACTTGTTCTAGTAAACCCGCAATGCACGTTGGCGATTGCTTTAAATTATATATTGGAAAGACATAATCAACAAAATTTAGTGTTAAATGCCATATCATTTTATTCGAGTAAATAAATTACTGGTAGATGATACGAAAAAAGATTGTCGAGGATTAATCGTCGATAATTCTAGCGTTAAAAATTCTTCGATACACGTATTAGTAAATTAACAATTTTTTCACACACACTTGCAACACAAAATTTACTTCGAAAGTTTCGTTTCAAAGACAATTTATCGTACAATTGTGATATTATTAGTGAGTAACTTGTGACTCGTAAAATTTACCAATATCTATCAGTTCAGCTGTACAAGAGGATGCTTTATAATCGCGTTTCACCATAAATCGCAATCAAGGGAGCTCCTTCGATTCACGTGAACGTGCCAACCTTTCGTTTCAACTGCTCCCGTTTTTAGAAGATATAATACGAAACACGCGTAGACGTCGGTCGAGTGGATGTAGGTGTCCAAGAAATGGATCGCGCCAAGTTTCACTGGACGTAGGTGTCCTGTTCCAGTCGAATCGCAGGGACCCGATGGACGTAGGTGTCCAGGATCGTGCCGGTCTGCGATTAGAATCTAAAAAGACGCCCTCGTCTAGGCGTCGAACGTTCCGATTTTCAAGCTGGAAGAGGTTCGACGATCGGCATCGATACGCCGCGCGATCGCTAATTACGCTCGGGCCATAGTTTCTCTCGTGCTTCGAGCGTACAGGCGTGGGCGTGAAACGACAACAACGTCACCATCTAATATCGTCTACATCGCCGAATGATTCGAACGAGAATCATCTCTTCGAACAATTTTCACAGATCGTAATCCTGCAAATCCGAGACTCGAGATCACTTCTCTCTCAGGAGATCGACGATGACGTTTCGAAACGTCGAGGAAAACGAAAAAAACGAGAGAGAAGTCGGCGGAACTACGTCCCGGTAGTAGCGCGACGATCCTAAAATAGCGACAGCGGCAGGATGATCGCGAGACGCCGTCAAGTTTAAGGTATTGTTCGTCGGGGACGGTACGTGGGTGAGGACAGTCATCGAACACGTCGAAGCCTTCGTCGAGTCCTCGAGTCCCGGTCATTTGCCATGCAAAATCTCCTCTTCGTACTCTAGCCCGATTCTATCGATGTAGGTTATCCTAACGGGATAATCCTAGACAATGAAACAGTTTTTCTAGCTGCTTCCACACAGCTGCTATGCACTCTCGAGAAGAAATTATGAAATCGGTAATAAAGAAAGAAAGAAAAAAAAGAGCACGAGTATATAAAAGTAGGCGCCAGGAGAAGAGAATACAATCGGTCGGATCTATCGACACGCTGAAGCGAGAACCGCGCGAGAAGACAGAGTTTTAGCAGCCAGTTTTTGCCGCGTGTAGGCGGTGTATTAGGATTGCGCAACCGCGCGCAAGGATTAGGATCTGTGAGCGCGAGGCCGGGAGAAAGGGGTAGGTGGGAGGCTTGATTTCCGCAAATTAATTCATAAGAACGTCGTCGGCTGACGTCACTTCCTGGATACGCGCCGGCAAGGCGGGATACGCTCGTAGACGCGAGACGATCGCCAGAGAGAGAGAGAGAGAGAAGAGATACGCTCTCTTTATCTCTCTCCTCCCTACGTTCACTTACGCGCGCACCGTGTCGCGCCTCTCCGTCCTTCTTTTCTCCAGAGTCTATCTGCCACGTTCATCCTTTTCTCTGCTCTTCTCTCACGCGTTCAGCTCTCACCTATACACGTGCCAACTAAAAACCGCCTGGCTGGGCGTAAATAGAATGCTGCTACTTCAAAACCGCGAAAAATAAGGGCACTGACATTCACCGAGTTCACTGGAACTCGCACCGGTTCACCGAGAGATCATCTCCTCAGAAGATCTCGCATCGATCTCGCTCTTCTCATTATCCTCGCGCGATCGTCTACCGATCAAATACCGTGGTTCTCGAAACAGGAGAGTTAACAATGTAGAAACTACTTCTACGAGTTAACATAATCTACAGAGGTGAGGTCATCTGTAAAATAGCAGCCGGTGACGTGTCATTTGCGATTGTTATTTCAATTTTTTTAGTATAGTATATTTAATGTTCCAATCGTATAATATATTTTTTAATCCTTAGAATTTCTTCGTAATAATAATATAATAAAGTTGTGCATTAATTTCTATCCTCGTTCTATACTACTTTCACAAAAAGGTGCCGGCCACTCGCGCATGGTCATGCGAAACATCGCCTTATACAGCATAGTGGCCTGTACAATTACAATGGAAAGAAATCGATTGCACGATGAATATATGAAAGAAGATTAATAAGGCCGTTGCCTTCTAATATCGAGTCACGTTCGTGGTTTTTTCGCTTTAAAAGAAGAAACGAATAATAACAGTCCCAGCGCATAAGCTTGAATTCGGATTCTAAATTTAGATTTCAATTCTTTCAATTCGAAGATTAGCACGTAGAAGTTACACCTACGTTTCGATGCTTTACATACGACACGATGTGATAAATTACAACAACAAACGTCTATCTGGAGAATATAAGGAGTTAAAGGTCCCTCGATCACCAATCTTCGTTCCACCGTGCAGCGATCGTGAGATTAAACACACAAAGTTCCCTCGCAAGGAGAAATTGCAACTTACTGCTACAACAACTTAATTACCTGATAAATCTTCGATCGAAGATACAACATCTATGCCCGTTAATCGCCAATCTAATCGCACCTTCTAACTTCGTTGTTATTTCAAGAATAGACTCTACTCGATATACAAGCCGTTTTCCTACAAACCAGGCCTGCAGGTATAACCAAAAAAAAAAAAAAAGATAAAAATTGTAACAATTAAATAAAATTATTAAAAAAATACTGAATAATAATTTTAACCATGAATGTTCGCGATGTACTTGTATTTGCGAGCACATTCTTTTTTGTACGAAGCATGCAAAAAATAAAATTTTAGACTTAAACTTTGAAAATACTGTTCGTATTGCCACCATCTGTATCAAACCAGATATTGATGAACTGGTATCTAAAAAAAAAAAAAAAAAAAAAAAAACAAGCGTTCTCAATGTACTCATTAAAAAGTTTGATCAATGTGCTCGTAAATAATATAGGTTACATCGAACTGATGAAGAAGAAATATATAAACTATGCGCAGCACTCGACAAGTTGTTCACTGTTGGCCAAAGAAGATCTAAAAAAAAAAATCGGACACTCACGGAAAATGAACAATTTCACTGAAAATTTCTACAAAAGGAACCGCCACAACGTGGCTAATTATAAACGAAAAGATGCGATCCTGTTTCCCTCGAAATCCCACGATCTCTCGATCTTCGCTCCGGTAATCTCATTAAAGCGCGGGGGAAACGTATCGATTAATAATGCTCGGAGCTTATTAATTCCCGCACGAAACGAACGGGGCTGGCGACTCATTAAATCCTCCTCTGCGAATCCGTGCAGCATTATTACGCCCTTGTCTTTATCATTTTGCCCGATAATTGACGGTCATCCTCCAACGCGAGCGCGTTTCGATTCTTTCGACGACGTGCCCCCCCCCC